CCATTAGAGAGATGCAAATCAAAACAACAATGAGATACCATCTTGCTCCAGCACTAGTAGCAAAGTTCAACAAGACAGAAAGTAACAAATGCTGGGGAGGATGCGGAGAGATTGGGACTCTCATACACTGCTGGTGGGACTGTAAAATGGTCCAACCACTGTGGAAAACAGTATGGTGATTCCTTAAAAAGTTGGAAATAGAAATACCATTTGGCCCAGCCATTCCCTTACTAGGTTTATATTATAAGAAAGTGAGACCCATGAGAAGAACAGACATATTCACACCTATGTTCATCGCAGCACTATTTACAGTAGCCAAAAGATGAAAACAACCTAGGTGTCCATCAACTGAGGAATGTGTAACCAAACTATGGTACATACACACAATGGAATACTATGCAAAGCTAAAGAATAATGTAGTATCTGCAAATACCGCATGACATGCATGAACTTGGAGGACATTATGGTGAGTGAAATAAGTTAATCATAGAAGGACAAATATTATATTAGTCCATTATTGTAAAAGTCAAGGAATGGTTTATTTATGGGAGGAAATTTTCTTTGTAGGTTATGAGGGGTGGGAGGGGAGGGAACACTGTTAGATAGGTAGAGATAAGTATTGATTTGGGTGAAGAGAAGGGCAATGTACCAAATGTGAGTGATCAACACAGTGGCATTGAGGAAGAGGAAGACAGAGAGAGGTAGATGGGAGGTACAGACAACAAAGGTGAACCCTTCTGCAAAAACAGTACTGCGTTGTCAGTGAAGGCAAACACAGGTATACAGGTAGGTAGATGGGTAGACAGGCAGAACTATTAGGTATATTTATGCAGCAGGGAGTGTAACATAGGGTTGGCAGAATTTGGTTCTACAAATGTATTTGTATGTTCTGTAAGAATTCCCAGAGGTATAGTAGAGCTGACAAGGGACAAGATTGTAATCACTTCTTGGTCACAGCCAGCTACCCAGTGGGAGCAAGTAGTTGAATCTGTGGGCTTGGGACTGTAGTTGCAAGGGACATCAAGCTCAATTGGGATAACATACTACACAAAACATTGTTTCACCTCCTACTTTGGTGAGTAGTGGCTTGGATCTTAAAAGCTTGCAAGCAGCCATCTAGATGCAACAATGGTTCTCTGCTCGTCTAGAGCAAAGAAGAATGAAGAAAATCAAAGATTCATGGAAACAACTAGTTCTTGTGACTGGTACACCATGTGGATCCTCAGCTTATGCGACTGTGAGACCAGAAGAACTAGATGGTGCCTGGCTACCACTCTCAACCACTCGGAGGGAGATCTATGTAGGAGATCCTGGATAGAGAGGGAGAACAATGTGGAACAAAACTCAAATCATTTGGGGGGAAAAAAAAGGGAGACCAGGTTTGCGGGTGTGATAGAGCCTGGTCAAACCACTGAGACTATGGTCCCTAGCTGCCCTTCAGGTCTGGAATTGAACCCACACTTGTGCCTTCCAGCCAAACAAAATACAGGCATATGAGTTGAACATTTACTTGAGGTAGATACACTCCTTGGAGAGAACAATCATGGGAGAAAGAAGGGCTGCTTATGCCCAGGGAGACAGTTCAGGGGGCAGGAGTGCATGGAGGGATGGACACAGGGAAGAGGTAACTATGGGAAGGAAGTGGGAGGGGAGCTTTTGCATTGGGATAAATTGTAGTCGTTGTCATGAAACAACATGTGAGTGAACTGTTGTATGGAAAGTAAATTTGCTCTGTAAACTTTCACCCAAATCACAAAACAATAAATAAATAAAATAAAGAAGGAAGTAAAAAAAAAAAAATGATTAAGCAGTGAAACTGGGATCATTCTTTTTCTTCATTATTAACCATGATATAATAGCTATAAAGGTATCGAATGAGGGAGTTGTTTGGGGTGATGAAACTGTTCTGTATCATGAGTTTGGTCACGGTTACATGAATCTATAAATATGTTACAAATCATAAATTATTTTTGCCTTGCCATCTTATTGGTTTTAAATGTTTTTTTTTGCTATTCTTTCAAAATAGAACTTAAAAATATATCAACAAATAAATGCAGGGTACATTGCTCAAGGCATTGCTGAGAAGACATGTTTCTGCCTTGAAGGATTGATTTTCTAATAAGATAGAAGTAGACAACACAAACAACGATAATAAGATAAATTATAATTGTCTCCAAAATAGATATAAGCAATATACTAGTTTGTTCTGGGAGGAAAATAATTTTCATTAGCGCTATAGGATAATTCTTCATTGATTTGAGCTGAGGCCTGGAAAATTTGTTAATTTTTGTCAGTCATAATAAAGGCAAAGGACATTCTGATAGGAAGGAAGAACAAAGCAGATTTTATTAATATGCAAGTTTTCCTATTTGTAGTTCATTCAAACTTTGCATCTGTACTTGATGAATGCTCATTATTTTATTTTATTCTATTCTGTGCTCAGAAACTCTCAACCATTTTGTTCTAAAGCACAAATTTCTCACAAAGGAGTAGTATGATTTTTGAGTATTTTGGAGTTAGTAATTTATGCCATATTTATGATTTTAATGGCTGTGAAGACAGGGAAATTTTCCTGCCATAATTTGTTGAATTGATAATAAATATTTAAGTGAAAAGTGTGATAATTCGGGAAATAATTGATTCCAATTTTCTATTTACAGAGTGAATTTGAATAAATTGGGTTTTCAGAACATATAATCCTATAAAATATTTCTTCCCAAAATTGCTTTCCTCTCATTTTTCCTACTTAGGTGAATGAATCAACTCTGATTAAAATGAGCAATAATTTACTTTTTTTTTTTTGGTCATAGATTTTCTGTGAAGACCCTGATTGATCGGTCCTGCTTTGAGACGATTGATGATTCTTCTCCTGAATTTAACAATTTTGCAGCTATTTTGGAACAGATTTTAAGTCACCGGCTAAAAGGTAACAGCACTAATGTTTTATTTTTTCTCTCTTTGTAATAAAGTTGAAATGCTACAAACAATATGGTTAGTGTCGCTTAGATAGTAGTCTTGAGAAATAATAAAGCTGACTTTAGAATGCTTTTCTTTCAACCTATATCCTTAGAAAAGAATCACTCACTATTCTTGGGTTTACTGTTGTCTCCAGGATGCATTAAAGGTGTTGCATATATTAATTGGCGCATACAAGGAACAGAGTTACTTTCCATAATTAATTGAAATAAAATCTTCAGTTTAAAAGATAGCCAGGGTTACTAGAGGATGCTTTAATCAATTTACCAAAAAGTACTCTAGACATTAAGTTTGTTTGCTTAGCTTGTATTTCCTTAAACTCTGGAATATTTGAAAAATTATTAACAGTACGTAGATTAAAAAAAAGGGGTATATAAATAAGTGTTTGACTTTGATTTCCTTAAAATTAATAAGCATATACCAGAGGTATATATCTCTTAAAACAAGACTTTAACAGGGAATATGAGAGCTATATTCTCTCTGAAGTATATGTTTTGTAGTTAGAAATATATATCTATAAAATACAGTTGGTAATGTCAAAAAGTAGAAGTTTCAGTAACAATAAGAAATCACTTTATTACATTAATTCCCTAAAGGAAACTTGGTCATCAGGTAGTTTCACTTAAGTTTTTATTATCATTAGAATTTTATTTTTTGTTTCTGAAAACATTTAACTAAGAGTTTAAATGCATTACTTAACATTAAAACTGAAGGGGAAAAAAACTTCACATGGCATTGGGCAGCTGTTGCTAGTAATTTTCAAGGTCTACAGCTAGCTACCTGACTGATAGATTTGTTCCCTTGTCAAAACTTTAGCTCTGGTAGAAGGTTGACCTCACATTCTGGTGTTCTTTGGACTTCCCTTTAGCTTGGATATGTCTTTCTGAGAATAAAGACCTTGGTGGCAAGACAGATGTCCTATCACCTCACTAGAGGATTGTGGCCTCTCTTAAGGTCTGCCACCTTCTCAGGTTGGAGACACCAGGGCATCTTCTTTTGCTACCAAAGTCTCTCTCTAATAGTATAGTTGCCTTACCCCATCCTCTCCTCTGAGCTCCACCAAGATTGTTCAGATGGTGAGTGATGTTCCTTTAGCTATTATGAATAATACTGTGATGAACATGGGTGTGCATATATCTTTTCATGTCACAGCTCTTATTTCTCTAGGATTTATACCTAGTAGTGGAATTGCTGAATTATATAGTATGTCTATATCTATTTTTAAGGAAGGGCAATACTATTCTTCACAGTGGATGTATCATTTTTACAGTACTACTAGCAGTGTCTGAGAATTCCAATTTCATCAGACCCTTGCCACCATTTGTTGTTTTCTGTTTTTTTGATCATTGCTATTGCCAGGGTGAGATGATATTTCATTGTTGTTTTGATTTGCATCTCTCTAATGGCTAATGGGGAGCTCTGGTAGCATAGTGGCTAAGGCACTGGACTGCTAACCAGAGGGCTGGCGGTTCAAACCCACCAGCAACTCCTCGGAAGGAAGATGGGGCAATCTACTTCCGTAGTGATACTGCCTCGGAAACCCAAGGAGGGGTCGCTATGAGTCAGGTCTGAGTCAACGGCACATAACAACAACAACAACAATGGCTAATGATCATGAGCATCTCTTCATGTATTTGTTGGTTGCCTGAAAGTCACCTTTGGTGAAGTGACTGTTCATTCTTCTTCCCATTTTTTTATTGGATTGTTTGTCATTTTCTTGTTGAAATTTTCTATAAATTTTAGAGATTAGACCCTAGTCAGATACATTGTTGCAAATATTTTTTTCCAGCCTGTAGGTTCTCTTCTTAATATTTTGGAGAAGTATTTTGATGCACAGGATACACCCTAAGAGAAAGTGTTTAATTTTTAGGAGACTCATTCATCTAGTTTATCCTCTGCTGTTTGTAAATTTTTAGTTAAGTTTGAAAGACTATTTAAGCCATAAATTAGGGCCCCTAAGTTTCCCCTATCTTTTTCTTCCACGCTCTTTATGGCTTGAGGTTTTACATTTAGGTCTTTTCTCCATCTTGAGTTAGTTTTTGTATGTGGTGTGAGTTATCCTGTTTCATTTATCTGCAATTAGATATCCAGTTTTGTCAGCACTGTCTGTTAAAGAGACTATCTCTTCCCCCACTTAGTGGATTTTTGCCCTTTGTCAAAGATCAACTGTCCGTAGACGAATGGACTTAGTTCTGGGTTCTCAGTTTTCTTCCATTGGTTTACGTGTCTGATGTTGTACCAGTACCAGGCTGTTTTAACTACCATAGGTGTGTAGGGGGTTCTGGGATTGGGAAGTATGAGACCACCTAGTTTGTTCTTCTTCAGTAGTGCTTTGTTTACCCAGGGTCCCTTTCCTGTCCAAATAAAATGGGTGGTGGTTTTTACTTACAATTTTTCAGATGAGGTATTTTGAAGACCCAAATGTCTAAGGATTTTCATATATTATTTTCCATTTTTTAGTATTCTAACATATAATGAATTACTTTTGGAGAAGTTATGTAGTTACTGTGATATATAAATTCACTTAGAATTTTGTTCACTTAAATTTGTTTTGTAGCATTAATTTTTCAATATTGTTATTTCTAGAGATATAAATTAAAAAGTTATAGCTTCATGGGTTTGTAAAGTTTACTTTTCTTCAGCTATATCTTATTTTAGAAGGAAAAGGCATTTGGTTTAAAATTTTAATTTTCCATAGAAAGATATCTCCCCCTTGACACAATATAGGCAAATACAAAAAATAGGCAGATATAGGTCATGGGGAAAACTAAGACTGTTGTCTGTGTAATTAATACTAAAAGTGCCATTAAGAAAATGAAGCTTTAAGAATCGTATTAATCTTATTTGAAGAATCCTTCAATAAACCAATGTCCTAGAAGACCTAAGAGTTATATGGGATGACATGGAAACAAATAACATATTTGTGGAATATATATTTCTGTGGAATATAGCTAGGAAATAGTGATTAATCGTAGAATATTAGGGTTGAAAGAGACCTTAGTTCAGGTTCTGTAGTTCAAGTTTCAAACTTGTTGAAATTCATTATTAAGTATAATCCTGTGTACCTAAATCACAAGCCTCATACAGAAACTGGACATGTAAGTGGAATGCCACTGTTGAAGGCAAGGTGAGGAAGAAAGACATTTTGCCTGCTCAGCGGCAATTACTCCCTAGTCTGCAATTGTGCAGTACCACTTCAAGTAGTGCCAAGGATCAGAGATTGAACCTTAACATATTTTAAGTAATTAAAAGTGTAAAAAGTATGTTTTCTGACCATAATGAAATTAAATTAGAAATAAAGAACACATATCTTTAAAAATCACTAGTTATTTGGGATTTAAAAAATACATTTCTGAATAACTCACTAGTCATAGAGGAAGTCTCAGAGAAAATAAGAAATGATTGGAACCAAATGAAAAATGAAATACAAGATATGAAAATTTGTGGAATGTAGTTAAAATAGTTCTTAGGGGGACATTTATAGCATTAAACACTTAGAATAATCCAAATGTTTATAAACAAATGGATGATAAAATGTAGTATGTACTTACAGTGAAGTATTATTAAGGCATAGAAAGAAATAGTCCTGATACATGGTTAACCTTTGAAAACCTTATGCGTAGTGAAATAAACCTAGAATAATAAATAAACCTAGAATAAGTAAATGTGTAGAGACCGAAAATAGATTAATGGTTACCAGGGTCTCAGCTGAGTTAATAATCAAAGAAGTACACCTGCTCCACACTCCAGATATATTAAAACAAAGTAAAACACAAAACCATGGTGAAACAGAATAATACATAATTAACAAATAAAGACAGCAACTTCAAAATGTCTAGGAAACAATATACAACTTCAAATTAAAGAAAAAAAAACAGGAAAAGATAGTAGAAACAAATGTCAAAACTAAAGAATTAGGAAATCTCTTTGAGAAAGAACAAGTAATAGAACTATCTGATTAGGAATTCAAAAGCTATATATATATATATATATATATATATATATATATATATATATATGTATATAACCCTCCAAGAACTAAAGGGAAACCAGAAAGAGAAGCAACAAGAAGACAGACAATACCATTGAAGAATTCAGGAAGATCATTTATAAGCAAAATAGCCAAATAAATTCACGATTAGAATCATACAAAAACAGCAATTAGAAATCCAGAAAATGAGCACTAAAATTATGGAGATAGATAACACATTGGAAGGACAAAAGAGCAGACTAGAACTGGCGTAAGAACACATTTCCCAGCTAGAAGACAAATCCCTTGACTCTAGCTTGTATGAGGAAAAAGCAGAACAAAGATTTAAGAGAAATGAAGAAGACCTAAGAGTTATATGGGATGACATGGAAACAAATAACATATGCCTGATTAGAATCCCAGAACAAGAGAAGGCCAAAAAAAAAAAAAAAAACACTGAGAAAATGGTCAAAGACTTGCCAACAGAAAATTTCTCCCATATCATGAAAGAAGAAAAGGTATCAATACAAGAAGCTCAACAAACCCTGTACAGGATACACCCTAAGAGAAAGTCACCAAGACATATCTATTCTGGTTACCTAGTGCCGCTTTGACAAGAATATACCACAAATGGGATGGCTTGAACAAACAGGAGTTTATTTTCTTACAGTTCAAGAGGCTAGAAGTCTGAGTTTGAAGTGCCAGGCTCTAGGGGCTATGTGAAAGCCCCTCGACCTTGGGCTTTAGCTCTGTCTCTTGCTCTTGGCCCACTGAAGCTGGAGGCACCTCTTCACTCAGGCAGCTCCTCGCTGCTGAGGCTAACAAGCCCAAGGTCGACAAATAAAATGGCACAGTCTGATGTTACCAAACCACATGGCCATTAATTTAAGTCCATTGAAAGTCCCAAGGTTAGCAGAGCATGGCAGGCTGCTGAACAATGACATGGCTACATGCAGGGTTCAAGCGTGCCATAAGCTGGA